TACGTTCACTTCGACCACATCCGCATCCACCAAAACACTGCTATATGCAGCACATTCTGATGAGCTGGCATTTGGTGCGGGCAAATGAGGGGGGGGGGGGCGTAGTTGTTGAATCGGTTTGCTTCTGGGGGAGAGAGCAAAAGACAGACAACCTGAAGCGGAGTTGATTTGGAACGTTGGGATACAAGGGTTTCATATGGATCCGCTCTGGAAGCAGCTTATTCTTGGCTTGCGGAAGCGCAAAGCAAACAAAAAGCTGGAGACTTTCTGAACTCCCAGTTGTGTCGGCAAAGCAGGAGTATCATATGACGCCTGCTCGGGAATCATGAGGTTTGTAAAATCCTTCTTGAGCCAGAATCCCTATTCCTTATTCCTGAAAAGCAGTAAATCCTAAGCCCAAAGCCCTAAATCCTAACCCCGCCATGAAAAACAAATCCCGAACCCTAAGCCCAATACCCTGAGTCCCATACTCTGCATTCTAAACCCAGCGGAACCCAGGAAGCCCAATAGCCCGTAATTCTGGAATATAGCTTAATTCATATTGGGGACCCTGGCACCATTTAGGGTATATTCCTCATATAACCTGTATGTAACCCCATATAATCCCTATATAATCCCTGCAGACTCCCTGGCATATTCCTTGATTAGGGGGTATAGTGTATATTATATGGGGTTCTATAGGGGATATACCCTAAACTACCCTAAACCCTATAATTATCATATAGTAGTTTATTGTATTTACCATTATCTTTAGATAACCTCCTATATCCCCGTGAAGGGGCATTGGGCTCCCAGCCGGAACCCAGGAAGCCATCCCGCGACTCTCACGGCTCTTGCCAAACGGGGAGGTGCCAAGAGAGCTGGAGGCCGGTTTCGTAGCGAGGCTAGGAGGCTTAAGGTATAGGTAGCTTAAAGGGGACTTTATATAGGGGAGTATTATAGGGGCTATTAAGTACAGGTAGCTTAAAGGGGATTATAAAGGGGCGTATTATAGGGCTTAAGGGAGTTAGAGTATAGCTCCAGTACAGGTTCATGGGGTGATGTTCAGGAGGGTTATGAGTTCTATCTTATTTCACTCTTAGCTACGCATTTTTTTCCGGTAATTGCGCGCTTGCATTCCAGACCTTGAAATCTTGAATTGTAAGCCAAGCCGACTGCCCTAACCCCTATGCTCCTAAAACCCCAAGACCCTATCCGCAATGTCCCAAAACCCTAAAGCCGAAACCCTCAAGCACAAAAGCAATAGCCCCAAAATGCTACACTGTTTCACCCCCCTAAACGCGAAACCCAGCGCGCACTGCTGTGCCATACCCCAGCTAGGATCCTCACAGGATGCGATTGCTTAGAGAACTCGTTTAGGATCTAGGGTTCAGGATTCAGGGATCATGCCCCTGTCTTATCAGCCTCCGCAACATTGGGTTTATCATGACTCGTGGGAATGGATTCCCAATCGTGAGCCGAAAGGCAACCAAAATCCCAAGCCTTAATCCTGCAACCTTCTAGCTCCTGAATCTCAAGCTCCTAAGCCCCAAAGCCCAAACCCTGAAACACCACATCACAGGCAGGACGCAGATCTGGGAGCCAGCTTTTTGGAACCCGACAGGCTGGAATTCGCAGTTCCTGTAGCAGCGGAGTTTCTCACATTGGTTCCCATGTTGTTCCTGAGGGTGGCCTTGTGATTCCCTGATAACCACCCTATGTGAGCTATAGTCTAAACTCCTTAAAGGGGTTATATAGGGGACTACTATAGGGGTTATTAAGGGGGATACCAGGATTTTAGACTATAGCTCATGTACACATACATGAGTGTGTGCCGGGACCCGAAGGATTTCCAAGAGAAACTCCCATATGCCTCTTGAAAGTACGAGGCTCCGCCCGTAAGGGTTGCACATATAAGGTTTATAGCTCGTGTAGAGAGAGCCTTAGAGCATCTAGGCAAATTGTCTTGACCTCATCGGACCTCAAAACAGATGTATGTTTCCATGGTCAGCTTCCCCATCAGGACATCATCTCAGGTTTCGGCAGTCATTAAAATTGCCAGACCCCCAAGCAATAGGTCCCAAACTGAAGGTTCCTGATATCACTACTGAGACAAGCCAAATGTCCTATTACCTAGGATGCCTTCCCCTCCAAACATCTGGAAGCCGGGACCGGTGTCATCCTCTTTCTGACTCTTCCAACATCCGTCCTTGACATCCCCCAAGAAGCTTAACCATAGGCAAGGTTTAAAATACTTGTGTATCTTTTATTCCGCTGCCGCCCTTTAAAACCATGAAATGCAATTTTATAGTGGCCCCCAAACCTAGCTTGGCAATTCGTGTAGAAGTTCCTAGTATTTTGGCCATGGCATTGCATTGATTGCACAGGCCTTGTCCTTGGAGCTGGGAACAGTGGGTTCACCACAGAGTTCCTCTGCTTTGGTCGCCCGCTTGAGGGGTGGCCAGGCACCGGCGACACGCAAAAAGGGCCTCCACGGGTTATAGTATACCCAGAATATACCCATAATATACCGGTAATAACCCCAATAATGTACCCATAATATATTATAACATACCCAAAATATACAAATCATATTTTGGGGCTGAGAGTTTTAATGGTTTGGGTTTTGGGAGTTGAGAGGTGAAGGGCTTGATGAAGCAAAGAAGTAGAGTTGCATAATCTACCCCTATAACGGAGAATCAAATGGAAAAGAAACTGGAAAATGCAATGGAAACTGGAGTTATATAGGGGTATATAAAGCATACCCAGCCCTCGCCGTGGATCCATTTCATTTTCCAGTCTCTTTTCTAATTATTTCATTCTCAGGAAACCCTTGTATCATCCATATAACCCCTAGAACCCCATGCAACCCTATTACCCTATGTAATCCTAGAAGCCCTGAACCCTAAATAGTAGTTTCCATTTGGTATTACCCCTATAGAACCCCAATATACTATAGCCCTTACTATTGGCCCCCCCCCAAAAAGGTACCCTTCATTTTGGGAAACCCTAAACCCTATAAGCCGTTATATAACACCGACACCAGTTTCCATTTCATGTTCCATGTTGTTTTCCGTTTGGTTCTCCTCTATAAAGGGGGTAGAACCCCAAATTTTAGGAAACCCTAATCCCTAAACCCCACACCCTATAGAACTCTAGATAACTCTACATATCCCTATATAACCTTTTTCACCCAAAGCCCGATACTATGGGGTAAGCCCTGGTTGTAGCTCGCAGGCTCCAAAGCCTGCTACACAACGACTGGATCTGCTTGGGGAGCCTCGGGCTCTGTGACAGGTATCTTTATCCCCCCTTTAAAAGTTTAGGGTTTAGGGTTTAAGGTTTTTAGGGTTTAGGGTTGAAAGGGGCCATATATGTATATATGTATATAGATAGATGTAGGGATGTATAGGGCTAAGGGGGCTTGGGGTTTAAAGGTATCTTTATCCCCCATACGGGTCATATTGGGGATCTATAGGGATGATGGAAAAGAACTGGAAGCTACTATTCAGGGTTTAGCGTTTGGGGTTTAAGTCTAGGGTTTAGACTTTAGGGTTTAGGAGTTAGTATTGGGAGTTACGAGTGATGGTTTAGATTTCAGGGTTGAAAGTTATTTTTTGACGGAGTAGTGGCAACCTTGAGAGTAAGGCTAATTTGGGAGTCCCCAGAATATGGACTATTTAGATTCCTTAAGGACCACTCACACCACAATCAGAGTGCCGCCACCATTTCCGTTCCATAACATGCACTAGGAAATTTCTGCTGACTAGTGATGCCAGTATCGCGACTTCAGGCTGTTGTACATCTCATCTTGCCAAGGGTTGAGGAAGAGTTTGATCCAGCTGAAACCCTTCCGGAAGACTGGTGACATGATATGAGATACCCTACACTCTGGGTTCTGCACCCTAGCCTGAACCGGAAGGTACTGAGAGCAAGGCATGTCACAAGACTTGTGCCTAATCAGATGAACTCAACCCTGCACACCCCAAACCCAAGACACTTTTGAAGGCCCGCGCCACACAACCGAGGTACTACAAGACTTTATAAATTTCCAGGCAGTCCCGCTAGAACCGCATACAACCCTTGTATTTTCCTGGCACGCTTCCTGTAGAATTCACACCCTATCTAAGGACATGTTGGAAGGTTTATGTCTTCTCAGCCAGTCTCAAAGCTCTCGCAACCGCCCAGCTGTGGCCCGCAGCACTGTGGTGGATGTGCTTTGGTCGTTGGTGCTGCCTTGGGATGGTGAGTACGAAGATGGACGCCTGGAGGGCTTTTTATGGTGAAGCACCTAGCTTTTCAGGGTTGAGGCTTGCGGTGAGGGCTTTAGATGTTTCTAGGTGAGGTGCAGGGCCCAGGAGCCCTGAATCTTTGTTGCTTTCAAGTTCGGCTTCATGCGGCCCCAATGCTCTTGACAGTTATTTTGGGTCGTCCTTTTCTGTGCAATCTGGGTTTCGGTGATCTTCAAGAATGCTCAACTGCCAACCTCTCTCCAAGTTGTTAAGCAAGCCAGGACATGGTGGGGTGGTCAAATTAGAGACGCTGGATGTCGAAAAAGGAGCGGTCCTCATCAAAAGGTCGCAGAAGCTGGCTGACATTGAGGAGGGCTCTGCATCCAGCATGACCTCTGAGAGAGAGACAGAGTCCTTGGGAATGATCTTTCAGGGAACTGTATTGGAGGTCGTGCTGAACCAACAGGAAGGTCGAAAGCTTGGCTCCTTCACTGGAAAGCAGATCCTTTTCGCTGATGCCCAGAATACTGTTTGGACACGGCGGAGGTGTGCTTCAACAGCATCAAATGGCAAGGGTCGGGAGTGTGAAAATGGCCCAGCCCCGGCTGCGGCTAGAGAAGTTTTGAGGCTGGTCCTCACACAGTGGCTTGGACTGCCCTTGATCAGACTGCTTTCCAGTTTCGTGGGGGCCCTAGCAAGGAACAAACATTTTCATAGCTCGTCTCGACACATGACATAGGTTGCTGCTCTCTTTGCGTTGGGAGCCAACGCATCTGGGCCTTGGGCCATCCAGCGCCTCCTCTGGGGCCCTTGTGGCCATTGACGCGTCTCAGAGGCCCCTGCTAAGCTTTCTGCTGCGGTATGCCACAGGGACGCAGGACCTGACACTCCTCTCCGAGATCTACTGGTCATTGTGGTGCTTATCAGAGGACGCGCTGGACCCCGAGCGAATTACTTATGACAAGGCACGCTGGGTGCTGATCAAGTCTCTGGCCGGCTCGATCGAGTTCTGGGACGGGGCGCGAGGCACGCGGTTGGACAACCTGTGCCTCGACCTGTGTAGTTCTGACCACGGGTTCCTGGAAGGGTCTCAGGCCTGGCATATATTCAAACTATATTCCTCAGGACAGTCAAGCCATAGTTCTGCGGTGACAGATTCGATAAACTCCGCTGTAGGCAAAGCGAGGGGAGGGCTCTTGTTTTCCCAAGGCCAGCTCACGCCTCACGCATCATGGCCACTACCCTGAAAATTCCCATCATGTAGATATTCCTGGATCCTAGGTCCCACGTGTTTCCCTCGCAGATAGAAGCCAAATGAGAAACGCTGAGCTTGCAAAGAGCTTTGCCGCCCTTCATTGACAGAGTTTATTCGGCATGGTTTGGAGGTTCCACCGAAAAGATACAAACTCTGGACAACTTGACAGCCCCACCATGTCTTGCCCAGATGTCCTGACAGCGCCCGCGTCGGTGCCTTCCGGAGAGATGCGCTGCGCTTGCTGACGCAGCAGGCCGTGCCAACATAGCAGCCGGGATGTCAGGGGTCGCACATGGGAGTTCGTGCCAATAAACATAATAACTATCAGGGTCCCCGTATCAGTATCTGTCAGCAAGCTTTACGCTTGCTAGGTTTACATGTTACGGGCCTTCGAAAAAAAGTTCTGTGGTTGGAGGTTGGCCGTGGATTTCGTTTCAACGGCCCAGGGGTTCAACCCTGCAACCCATGGACTGGGAATTGGAAAGTCCCTGAAGACTGACTTTAAGCAAAACCTGAAGTATTGCTAATTACGTCTGCCTCGTCGGAAGATCTTCGCACTTAAGGAGGTTTGGCTGAGGGGCTTTGGCGTGAAGAACTGAATGATCATAAGCTGTATTCAGAATATTCAGACCTTGCAAAACGCCTTCAGAGCTGACTGACCAGATGTTCAAAAGAGACTAGAATGAATCTCCTCAGAAAACCTTGGCACTGTCCTTCTCCTCCTTGAGAGAATGTGCTGGAGCTAGAGTCTGTGCTAGTACTGACGGGTGTTTGTCTTGTGCCACCTCACATACCCCAGGCCCTGAGAACTAGCGGACTCGACGCTTCGTATATCTCGGTAGCCTGGTCCACCAAGACCTCATGCGCAGGCTGCGCTCTGGCAACAGACCCTCAACCTCGCGGACCTGGGAGCTCAGACGGCCAGGACCTTGGATTTACGGTTGCGGTGCTCGAATCGCAGCAGTAGCAGCAGCAGCAGCAGCAGCAGCTGCTGCTGCTGCTGCTGCTGCTGCTATTGAACGAACATGGCATATGCTAGAAATGTACTTGCAGGATTCTTAGGGCACCCAGGGACCGCACTCACAAGGAGTATGAAATCCCTGATTTTGCTGATCTAGAGATCATACGGAGAGACTCCCAGGTTACATCGGACTGCAAACACTGCAGAGTTGAAGGATTGGAGGTTGGAAAAACGGATGAGAATCTAGCTCCAGGTTCTGCACCTTCCCGCTTTAAACACCCCGTCCTATTCCTCATGTCACTGCCTTTGATTTGTTTGACTTATTATGTCCCCTTGCTCGCGATTCCACAGAGCTACATCCGCCTAAAGCTAAACCAAGTCCTTGCCCATGCATCCGAAAGGCTCCCCACCATCTAGAGCAGTTGAATCTGGAGGTTCTTCCTTAGATTTTTGGGAGGGGAAGGGGTAGTGATCTCCCCAGAACCAGGTATAAACACCTAGCCCCACGCCTTTGACAGCAGCCCTCAAACTGCTGGTGCGAGGCAGGCGATACAGCAGAGAAGACACGAGCCGTGCGCAGTCGGCTTAACGAGCTGAAGAAAGCCGGGGAGGACAGTGATTGCGGCTACAGCATATGTATTGCGATTACTGGGCAATTTAAAGCGACCTGACCTGACCTCACCCTAAATGGTGGTTTATATAGGGAATAGCACCTAACTGGCCTTAAATTGGGAACTGAAATTATTCGAAGATATTCTAAATTACCCTGTATTACTACAGTTTTCCTTTTGGGCCGCATTTGAACATTCCGTCAAATTCCGTCGTCATGAACATGCAAATTCTGTCTGCGATTCTTGATTGCCACTGTCATCATGGCATATCCATTATACTTACTACAACTATTGCCACCACGACCACCTTGCTCAAAACCACCGCTTCGACGGCTGCTCCTGCTGCTGCGGCTCAAATTGCGTCATGTGCGGCGAGATCAGGCGGCCTTGCTTATGCTTTGAAGGATGCTTGCAGGCATGCTGAATCCACCAGCCGGCTTGCATGCAAGCAGCCTCAGGAGGCCCGCCACGAGGAGTACTCATCGGAAGATGCCTACATGGAGGAAGTCTTGGAGGTGACGTTTACGGGATCAAAGTGTTTGAGGTGACAATTTGCGGCTAGAACATTGAGAAGTCACGCAGAGCATCCTTCTTCAACAGCAGCAGTAGCAGAAGTAGGCGCGACGACAGGGGATTTGTTTTCTGCCGTGCCGACTTCAGACCCAGCATCATGCCTCAGCAAAAGAGTAAGGTGTAGGCTTCATGGAGGATTGCACTGGGTCACTAGATATCACCACTCGTTTTGGGGGGGTGGGGGGGGTGTCCAAATCGGGGGACTTTTGTTGTGAAGCAGGTTGTCCTCCCAATCTGAGCCAAGAAGGACTATGATTACTAATCTAAGCTCCTCCCCATAATATTAAACCACCCACCCCCCAATGTTAAATTACACCCCCCACCCCTCAATGTTAAATACCACAATGTGGTTTTTTCTTAGGGGGCTGGGGGGATGTAATATTAGGGGGAGGGGATTAGCGATGGGGAAAGCCACACGGCCCTGGTCCTCCTGCACTGTGCTCCAAACCAGGCGGATCCCGAACTGCGCAGCACTACAGCTGCTGCAAGTACGCTTGGCCAAAATAAGCGTGGTAGTTTCACCAAATTAAGGTAGCTCAATAAAAGACCCCAAATCCTATAATTAGGGACTCCGAAACGGTATCCGTAACTTTGAGAGCATGAGTGTTTTGGGGGCTGATTTCAGCCACATTGTGGATACCGTGTAGCTTAGCGCCCTGGGGCCCAGAACGTGGTTTTGACTTGGGTGGAGGGCCGGTACTTGGTAGTTTCCTTAAATGGGGGACCCCTATGTAGATCCCAAAATGATATGACTTAGTATTGTGGGGACCCCAATAAGGTACCCCCTAATGTTGGGAGACCCCCATGCCAAGCTTGGATGCCATGGGTTGTTCACTTACTCTGGTCTATCTCAAGCAACTGTATGGGATGATCCCAGGGCTATTTGGACAAAGGCCAGCTGACGAAGCTTGAGATTCCACCTTCCCATGTGGCTCGTAAAATCAGGGTATGTACCCGTGTAGGGCTAGAGCATGCAAAGTGCTGCGTCAAGAGTTGCGTGTTGCAGCGTTTTCTGAGTAGTGGGCTTGGAGGCCGCAGAACAGACCTTGTTTCAGCTTGCTACCCTGGCCATCACTATGACCAATGGCCAATGGTGCTATCCCTCCTGTTTCCTTTGGATACACAATTGAGGAACAGGCAGGGAATACCACAGGATCTTGATGGTTCTGCGAGAGGTCAGAATAAGGACATTTGCGATATGCTTGTCCACAACCAGTTCTCATTGTAGTATGTTGGAAGCAGATACATAAATCCCCTTCACAGCAAATGTGAGCTCAAATGAGATTTTGCTAGACATCTACAGCTTGTCTTAATAACGCATGGGAATTCTTACATGCAGGTCCCTCCAAAAGCCCCTGATGTCCCACTTAAATTTCCGGAAGTTGAGCGCCTTGAAAATTCCAGAAACCCTAAACAGAATTCCTTCCAACAAAACTCTTGAGTAGCCTAGGTTGCAATGAAAGACTTGCTCCTGATTCCTGATGAGGCACTCGAAGCTTCAACCATAAAGCAAAAAAACAAATCCAACCCTAAACCCCAGACCCTGTACTATAGTAGTTTCCATTTCATTTTCCCTTATCCCAAAATGTAATCCCAATGTAATCCCAATGTCCTCTACTTAAGGGGGACTCTAGGGGTCGCTCCTAAACCCTAAACCCTAGCTTCCAAGGTTTGGTGGCAGGTTCCACAGCCTTCCTGTCTGCCCCAGTAGACCCTTCGGTGGAATTTCTGGGCGTGGACATCAGTTCCTGCCCCTCGCCCACCCAGAACGTGACGGCTTAGCGAAATCCGCAAAGTATAACACACAGGGACTTTGCTGTACCTAGAGCCCAAAAGCATGTAAATAATAGCCCTAAACCCAGAATGATAGCCCTGAAGGCCATTAATTATTTTACATACTTTGGGATCTTTGGGCTCCAGGTAGGCCCTTCAGTCAAGAAGTATGGGTGAACGTGAAGGTTACTGTAGCGTGTGGATGTTTCACGGAATCTTGTCTCAAGTCCAGGGTCTGACCGCCGTGTCTCCAACAGGCTGTGGTTCAGGTAAGGCTTTAGGAGCTAAGGTATTCAAATTTTTGAGTTGTTGCCTCTGTATCTCTTACGTCCTCGTTTGGATTGTTGGGCGTTGCAGCCTTTGTGAGTCTGTGATCCAGACTTTGCCTGCCCAAACGAAGTGATGCTGGAACCTATTCCATGTGAAAGGCTCCAAGGCTGGAAAGTCAGAGGTTGGCGCGACCTGCTTTAGCGGTCAGCGAATCAGAAAGTCCAGTCTGCCAAGTTCTTGGCAGTTAGAGAGAGAGGGCGTACTGATCTCAATGGTAGGCGTGTTCAGTATGCCTCAGTTGAAGTTGAGGTGAGATATTGCCTTCGAATGCAGCGCCCCTTCTTCTCGGGTGTTGGAAGGCCGCATGAGAGCAGCCAAAACATGTGCAATGGCCCGTCCGATTGCAGCAGAAAGCTCCACCTTTCAGGAGGCGCCTGGGTTTGATGACTTGGAAGCCAACGTCGGGAACATCGTCTTGCGGCGGCAGACCAGCGAGAATGAGGCCGGACAACTGGCTTGGGCACAAGTGAATACGACATAATTTTGAAAAAGAGGCAGCAGAGGAATGATGAGGACATATAGCAAATATTAATAATATTGATAATAGTAACAGTAATAATAAAGCCACTAAAGAGCAGGGGGTGGTTGGGTTGGTTCGGAGATACGCAAGCTGAACTCACGGTTGTGCTTGATGGACGGCCCTTGACTTCTCTCTTAGCAGGTGCGTTATGAGCTGTGTTGGCGAGGGTCGAACCCAACGGCAGAGTTGTTGTTTGGAGATTTATGCTGAAGGAAAGGGCTGCTAAAATGCAACCTCGTGTGTTGGATCCTACTTGCATGTATCACTTGATATTAGTGCCCAGGAAGATCTTAGAGTTAGACACGGAGAGAGATTTCTCATCTTACTGGGCTTGCCTAACGAAGCAGTGACGTGGGCAGCATTATGGCCTGAAGCTCAGGTCACGAGATACATGGTCAAGGTCGGCGATGACCTTCGCCAGGCACCGCGGATCCAAGCAATATCCCATGAGGCTCCCTTTTTTCAGAAACCCCAATGTTCCGATGCCCGAATCCGGGCGTCAACTGTGTTGACACAGTCGAGGACCAGCTGGTACTGCAGATGCTCCACTTGATGGATCTTGTGTGGCAGGACTGACTAAACTCACTGTTGCTTCTTTTGAAGACCTTGTAGTGCTCGCACAAGTGGGTCAGAGTCTAAAACTTTGTTGAACGTTTTCAAGAGACAAGTCTCTGGAGCAGACAAAATGCTTCAATCTTTCGATTATGAAAAGAACTCCATCCGAGGTTGGCTTGCGCTGTCTGGGTTAAGGGAGTGTTGGTTTTTCTCAGGTGTTTGTGGTGGCTTACTAGTTCCTCAATTGCAGGCAAGAAATTCCCCCATGTGCAGTTGCCTAGGCACAAGCCGATTGCCTATACGTTAATGCCACGAACCAGAAACCTCCCGGTAGGGCTTCGGGATCGCCTTGTGGCCTAGAAGCTGCGGACAGCAACGCGCTTGGGTGCGGCCGGCTCAAGCCCACAAGCGCGACCTCTCGCTAAATTGCAGCATAGGTTTCATTCCTTTCTTGCTTTAATTCAAAAACCAAGCATACTAGATTATCACCTTATTCACCTTTTTATGGCATGAACGCAACAATGCTAAGAGGATGAAGGCAGCTCTTCACAGCAGTAGAATTGCGATGCCGTAAAACCTCGGTGATGGTGTAAAGCATTTGCTTAAAATCCGCTCTGCATATCAGAGCCATGGAGAAAGATGAATTCATCAATCTGCTGGACAAGTGTTGGAATGATTTTCGACAACAGGCAGTTGCGGCCTACCCAGGAGAAGCAGCGAGTACCTGGATCAGTGATAACGTAAGTATATTTTCTCTATGCAGCGCAAGGCTATAACAAACACATGTCACATGTATTTTCTCCGACCTCCCAGGTGCAAAGGCAGAGCCTTTAGCCCGAGACTTGCGGGAACCCATTTTGAAGAATTATCTATTGAAAGATGCGCCTGAAGCTATGCCGCAGTCTTCGTTGAAGAGCACAAACAGAACAAAATACTTGGCCCAAGACCAGCGACTGCGGATTCGGTTGGGGCTTCAACCGCACCAAAAGCTTATCTCCGGCCAGTCTCTTCATGCTGCAGTGACTGCGCTGGGACTGTCAAGCTACAGTGTAGAGGAAATGAATGATCTGGTTAATGCCGTGGCAGAACATGTTGGACTTCATTTCAAGGAGTCGAGCACGGATTCCGTCCAGAGAACAAGTTCCAGGGACAAAGCTGAACTTCTCGGCCTGGAGCCTGTCTGGCAATGGTCAGGTGCCAGCGCGGCTAGATCTGAAATTCCTGGCCGACAGCGTCCGCCCATAGCAGGTTGTGACAAAAATGTTGTGCCTGCTCAAGCTTTGCTCGAGCTGCTGTTGGCAGATGAGGGTCAAGTCCACCAGAAAGTTTTCAAAAAGCAGGTGCTGCTCAGACAGTTTCAGAGCATTCGGGAGATTCTGTTGGCAAGTGATGCCAACCAGTTGGTTGCCGATTTGACTGTTGTTCGGATCAGTGACCTGGCTGCCCCTCCCGAACCACGGCATCTTTTGGCATACTTCGAGCCCTTCGCCGCTATCATGTATTTCTCCTATGGCATCATGCTAGCTTTCCAGCTTGACCCATCATACTCCAGCTGGTATGCTTGGGCTCATTTCGAAGCAGCGTTCACGCTCTTCCTCCTCATAGAAATTATGCTCCGGATGCACTTGCTCGGATGCCGCAACTACTGGGGTGGGCCAGACAGGTTTTGGAACTGGTTTGACATTCTTTTTGCAGTGTTTTCGGTCGCTGACCTTTTCATGCCGCTTCAGATGATGTTTCTCAAAATTATCCGGCTCTGTCGGTTGACAAGGATTGTCAAGGACCTCAGGTTGAAAATGATGAAAGAGCTCCGCCTTATGATCAGAGGCTGGTTTGCTGGATTGCGAACTATAGCGGTAGCATTCATTTTGCTGTTCTATGTGATCTACATGATCTCAGCTCTTGCAACAACCTCGCTGGGACCGAGCCATCCAGTACTTTTCGGTACCGTGCCTGTCTCAATGTTCACGGCTTTCAGATGCTACACTGGCGACTGCTCAGATAGAGAGGGTTTTCCCTTGACGGTGCTGTTGGCGCAAGAATTCGGCACCGCATTTGTTCTTTGCTATGTCGTCAGCTACATGTTGGTGACCATGGGAATCTTCAACGTGATCTTGGCTGTTCCTTGCTTGTTCAGCCGGCCGGGGTTGGGGTGGGATGTGTTTGTCGTCTCTTTTGAAAGGCTTTGTAGTAAGGCTGACTGTTTGTAGTTGTCGCGTGGTGTTTCAAAGAGCAGGTTTACGTTGACATAACCATGAAGGCGGCAAAGGGTAGCAATGCCAAAAGCCCTGAGCAGTACGCTCTTGAATCGGTCCGAGTTGCTCGATATGCACGCGAGCTGCTGAAAAAGTTCGTGACAGCATACCAAGACTTTATGGGTAATGATGCTTCCTCAAGTGGCGATTTCACCAATACCGTGCAGGAGCATGTCCAAATCACAAAAGAATTATTCCAAATCATCATACAGGATGGAGCTGTGCAGGCGCTCATGGATGAGCTAGATTTGCCGCTAGATCGCGCTGACTTGTTCGCAGTCATTGATGCAGATGGGAGTGGGGCGCTTGATGCACAGGAGCTAGTGCATGGCATGCTGAGCCTCCGCGGCGAACTCACTAAGAGCGACGTTATTGCCACTCTGCTGGCCGCAAAATCCATGCACCACATGCTCCTGCAGATGAAAAGGGAGTGGTTGCAGACTCGCCCGCCCTCGCCGACATGTCCTCCTTCCCTTGAACATGACGCACTCCGCAAACTCCCTGACGCAAGCGTGGGTCAGAAGCCACCAGAGGAAGACCACAACGCTGAAGCCCAAATGGACGTCTATACCTTCTAGAAGTTTAGATTGCATCTGAGACGATTGGCTGCGGACAAACGTTCCGCTTGTAAGCTATGATGACACTGGTAGCATCCGACCAGTGTCCACTCTGCATCCTTCTGTCTAAATCTCATCAAGCCGCCGTGCACTTGGAAAGAATCTCTACCGGGGCTCATTTCCGCTGAGACTTTGAGTGCAAAGCTGTGCGCGCGGAAGTCTTTCGTGTAAGGGCTTGAAGGATTGGAAACATCATCCCCGTTATGTAGCTAGATAATCTACCCTAAACCTTATTCGAAGCATTAAGGCCCCTACATTATCCCCAGGATACACCTTTTTTATATCTCTACATACCCCTAATACGCCCCTGCAGTACAAAGCCCATGTCATGGTCCCAACACCTAAATGCCATGCGAGTCTGCAGGCGGCTCACGAGACGCGCCATGCTAGCTCAATTTTCTGGTATATTTATGTGTATATATATATATTTGATAAATTCATTTACATGTTTTACAAAGCTTTCACAGGAGCGGGGTTCTGCAGACCTCAGTTCGGCAGTGCTGCTGTCCTGACCCCAAGTCCTGAACCTTCAGCCCCGAGTATCTCTGGTTAGGGTGGCGGCTTTCAGGTACCATTTCCTCCCGGGCGATTAAGAAGGAATGGCGGATTCTATAGGGGACGATTATGCTGGTTATTACTAGGGGGAAATCTTCCCTAAGCCCGACAGCCTGCATCACCTGTAGGGGTATATGCATCCCCTCGTAAAAGTTGCCTGTAAGAGAACAACTTGCAGGATCCATGCCCCCATGCCCTACTCTGCGAAAGAGTCTCACAAGAGAGTCCCAACGCAATCGTCACTGCATAGCAGTGTCTTGCATGCGTAACAGCCAGGCAGGAGGGAAAAATAGCGGTGCTTTGCCAGTGCAGAAGAGAGATCGTCGTCAGGGACAGCCTTCTCAAGGTTTATGCAAGGATTGAAAGAGAGCTCATTAGATATAACTAGGCTCTATAGGTCTATAGGAGGTTAGGGTTTGGGGCTTAGGCCCCTCTCAAACATGAAAAGTCACCGCACTCGAATAGGCTGGGACGAAGACATTGTTAAGGAACTGCTGCAGGGTGTCAGGTTTGCCTTTAACTTACTGAGGAGGCATGCATACTTAGAATTGGGCTTGAGGAGTATGTCATGCTTCAACTATATCAGGATTGCAGAGGACATTTGTTCCTCGCATTCAGGCCGTGCAGTAGACTGGTGTCTAATTTTTCCCGGGGGGGGGGGGGGGGNNGTGATGTTGAAAGTGAATGTAGGCCTTGCAGTTGCAGTGGTAACTGTCCCTCGGGGCCTGGGCAGTAGGGATGTCTGGCGCTAATGAAGGTACATAGGGGTACATTGGCCCATGTGATGTATGTAGGTGTGTATCATGTAGGTCGGGGCATACGGGCCAAGTAAGTTCCTTCGGCATGTGAAAGAAGCAATTGGAGTTTCATCTTCTTGCCCTGGTGATAGACACCCCCATAGCCAAAATCATGTCAAAACGATCAAATCCCACGCCCTTAGATTAGACTCTGCCTGAGCCAAAAGGCGGGATGCCTTCAGAAATGACTTACAAGAGCGTTTTAAGGACGAGGATTGCATGTAGATTAGACAGGATTCTGGTGCGCAGAGTTGTGGCCAAATGTGCGTGATACATACGTAGATAAACATATATGCATATGTGCGCAGCGTTCTTTTGAGTGCTTGGAGAAAAGGATTCAGGACACGGGCCGGAGGTGAGAGTTGAAGATTGATCTCCACGCGCATATTGCAGTCAAGCACAAGAAGCCCTGCAACGGGTTACTTGCCACCACGCAGCTGGTAAGTTCCAGACCTATGGGGTATCCCACATAAACGTGCTTGTCTTGCATGCAGAGACCCAAAGATGAGCTCAAAGGTCCTAACAATGGGCCCCTAATGGAGGCCCCTACTTGTTTCTTGGGTCCTAACTATGGTCCGTGAGTTAGGTTTGTAAGGGTTCCTAAGTCCCTAAAACCCCGCACCCTAAACATTTGCCCTAGAACCCCCTTCAGGAGCGGCTGCCCCCTGCAGAAACTCGCATGCTCAGATTTGTGCCTTACAGCTGCTCAGCTGAAGGACGACATTGTTGAAACAGGTAGGGATTCTATAGAGGTAGATACTCCTTAAAGAGGGTTATGTAGGGCTTAGGGTTAGGGGTTGAGGGGTCTAAACACTTGAAAGGGGGTTATACAGGGCAGCGTTAGAAGGGTTATAAAGCGGGATATTAGGAGTCATTTGGGTTTATGACAGGTTGATATATGTAGGGAGGGTTGCGCAAACGGGGGGGGGGGGAGGGGGGGGGGG